CCGGGCCCGGGGGGCTCACGAGCCAAGGGCCCCACTTCCGACACCAATATCGCACCCTCAGCGCTCTGGGGCCACTGCGCCGTGGCGCCGCCAGGACAGTGAGCTTGCGCCGCGCGCCCCCGCCCCCTCACTCACCCCCTCGCCGGCGAGCACGCGCCGCCGAAATATCGTTTGCCAGTCCGGCCCGCGGTCAGAGGGAAAGATTATTCGATTGTAATGGCGTCGGCCCCTGCCTCCTCTGACCACCCCGCCCGGGGCCGGCCAGGGGGTGCCATTTATCACGCGTCGAGCTGTTGGTGAGCACGCCCGCCGGCCGCGCCGCCCCGAGAGGGAGAGAGAGCGACATGTGGGAATCAGCGGGTTAAGTAGAAAGTATAGGGCGGCGCACTGCCTCGGGGGTGGGTGGTGGTCGTGGTGGCAGGAGGGGTTGGGGGACACCAACGGCATCGGCACTGCGCGTCGCTTGTCCAAGCGAAAGCGGCGACCGTTTTCTGTCCCATTTCATGCGCTATCACCCTTCCGATATCCATCTCCCCCGCAACTAAACTAGCGGCGCCCAGCCGCGCCCAACAGCACGCAGCAGCGCCCGTGTGCGCTAGCAGAGCCGGCAGTAACTGCGTCCCTAGTCACCCCTCCTCGCCCACTGGCTGTGCGCTGCGGAGGCAGCCTGGAGTGTAGGCCAGCGCGTGACAGCGCTGTCGAGCGCACGGCCTACCCCGCGCTCTGCAGGCGCTCGCCCGCGACAGACTCGACGCGACAGCTTGGTCTGAATCTGGAACAGACTGAAGTCTCTCCTGCCTGATGCACTACATAATGCATTACAAAGATGCAATTCAAGTAGGATGCTGCAATGCTGCAAGTCGTTTAACCTCTTGGAACTCGTAACGATAGAAGCCACAGCCACAGTCCCGGGTGCACGGCTTATCAATGCAATATTGACCTCCTTACAAAATTCAATTTTATTAGAATCATAAAAATGTATCTTTTAGAATCACAAATTTATTTTTTCCGTTCTACCTGCTACGTCAAACAGGTTCTAATATACCTTTGAAAATTGCGAGCCCTCTTCTCTCATATCATCACTGGCTACGGGGTTGGGGGAGGGGGGAGGATGAGTAAAGGGAAAAAGTAGATGAAGGGCCTTGGCCGTGCCGAGGACTGGCAGGAGCGAGGAACATCAGGTGGATGAATCAGCTGTTTCCGCGCCAGGGCGGTACTGACGCATCCCCCTCCCCCACTTCCCCTTCCTTCCTCTACCACGCTCTCTTTCAGACTCAGAGGAAGTTGAGCCCACGTTCATGCCCGGCTACCCGGGCAAACAAAGTGCCCCACAGCATCTCTGCCACAGATTGTCCAGATTCTTTTCCCCCTTCGCCAAAGTTCCCCAGCCCTTATCTCCTTTCATTCACACCGAAAGAAAAACAGTGAAAGGGCCGGCTACTCATCGCCTTCAGAAGTACCAGGCCGTCCTGGCCAGAGGTGTCGCCGTCCTTGGTCGCATGCTAACATCTGATAATGTTGGGGAAGCGCATATAAAAGCAGAAAGAAAAGGGAGAACGGAAAGGGAGGCGGGAGGGGGAGGGGGGGGCACCACCCCGCTTGCTTCCTCCCCCACATTAAGTTTAGCATTTCTCCCCCCTCGTTCGCTATCAGTGGCGCTGTAATCAGAGTAGTTGGGGCCTT